GAGGCCATAAACGCGCCCTACAATTGTAGGGACGACTGACGATACGGGCCTTAGTGAATATGATGGTATAATAATAAAAGCACTTACCCGTCATCTTCCTGTTTCTTTTTCTCTTCATCCTGTTGCTGTTTTTCCTTCTCGATTTCCTCTGGTGACTTCTTCTTCACTCCGTGGTAGGCCAGATGCGAGGATTTTGGTTGAGATTCTTGGACGTACATACACTCCTCATGCTGGATGTTGTTTTTGTCGACGCACAGATAACACGTCATACCTGTAATGTAGAAATGCTATCAAAATTCTCAGCTGTATACAAATATGCGACCGATTAATGTCTTGCCCGATGTCGAGAAGCTGTTCGGAGGGATAATATACGAACAAATCGTAGAATTCATTGGAAAAACCAAAATTTTGACATAAAATCAAGCTGGATTTAGAAAAAAATGTTCCACAGAAACGGCAATCCAAATGGTGGTGGAAGACTGGAGAAGAAGTTTGGATGAGAAAGAATATATTGTAACAATATTTTTAGACTTCAAAAGGGTATTTGAGAATATAGATAGGGAAAATTGTTAATGAAATTGCATCACTATGGCTTAAAAGGATCATTATTACACATTTTACAGAATTATTTAGTAAGTAGAAGTCAAAAAACTAAAGTTGGAAATATTATGTCAAGTGTTCAAAATATATCAGTAGGGGTGCCACAAGGGAGTAAATTAGGGCCGTTACTATTTATTATTTATATAAATGATATCTCTGACATTTTAGAACACTGCAAAATTCAAATATTTTCGGACGATACACTTATATATATACAGGGTGGCGCATCGTAAACGAAACAGACGCATTTAGTGGCAGCTCATTTTTTTTTTAAAAAGCTCAGACCCGTCGATTTTGTTTTCGAGCGGGACACAAGTTTGGCAAAAAATCACGTTAGCACGTGCAGCCCCCTGGGCGGGGGTGACACCAACCCTAAAACCTTAAATGGAAAGGGAGGTCGAGTGATACCTTATTTTAAAGGTCTTTGAATTCTCTTTACAATGATGTAAAATACATGAGCTTCAGTTCAGTAGGTACATAGTTTTCATCCGTATAAAATTCACCTGGTACAAGAACTGAATGAAGACGATTGTGATCGGGGATTGCAATTTTGTGAAGTTGTGATTGAACGAATTATAAACGATGAACATTTTGTATTCAACACTTGCTTTTCCGACGAATGTTCCTTTTTCTTGAATGGCGTAGTAAATCGTCATGACTGCCTATATTAGTTCGATTCTAATCCCAGAATTTATCATGAGGTTCATACACAGCAGCCACAAAAGTTAAATGTTTGGGCTGGTTTTTTTGGCGATCATTATTTGGTCCTTTTTTCTTACCTGGAAATTTGACCGATGAAATGTATTTGGAATTACTGTAAGGTGCCATAGATCTTGCATTAATAGCGATAATTGAAAATCAGGATGATCGGCGGTACATTGCGGATAGGTTGATGTTCCAACAGGATGGTGCCCACCACATTACGCATTACGTGTTCGACAATATTTAGATCAGACGTTTCCAGATAGATGGATTGGTAGAAGAGGTGCCATTGAATGGCCCCCAAGATCGCCAGATTTATCACCTATGGATTTCTTTATGTGGGGTCATTTAAAAAGCAAAATATATGCTACTCAGCCAATATCATTAGAAGACCTGCGACAAAGAATTGTGCCTTCAAATTACTCCTCAAATATTGCAAAATATGCGGCAACGTTGCGAAAACAAAATCGACGGGTCTGAGCGCTTTCCAAAAAAAGAAACTGAGCTGCCAGTAAATGCGTCTGTTTCGTTTTCGATGCGCCACCCTGTATATATAGCACATAAACATTTGAACACTGATGATATTGAAAAAATTATGAATAGATTAAATGTCAATAAACTCAAATTAAACACTAATAAAAAAATGTATGTCAATAGGGAAACATTTAGCTGACAATACAATTAGGCTCGTGATTAATGATGAAAAAATTGAAATACTCGAGTCACTTAAATATCTTGGTATATATGTGGATAGTAAGCTACTGTTTCACGAACATTATGAATACATTATTTCAAAAATATCTAAAAAGATAAATTACTTCTATAGAGTTTCCCATAATCTTAGTATGTATTCCAAAAAAATTGTATATAACACTATAATTCTTCCCCATTTTTTATACTGTTCAACCATCTTGTTCACAGCAAATGAAAACATATTTTCAAAATTACAAATTCTACAAAATAAAGCTATGAGAGTCATTTTAAATAAAAACAAATATGCTAGGATTAAGTCTATGTTAGAAGAACTGCAGTGGTTGGATGTGAAAAATTTCATATATTATTTAGTTCTCGATTTCATATTCAAATTAAAAAATCATTTATTACCACCACATTAAGAGAACTTCACAAAATTAAATAGTCATTATCATAACTACGATACTAGAGGCGGTATACATTTTCATCTGCAAAATTGTAATAGTAGCATAACTGGTAAATCTATATTTCAAAAGGCAGTATTTAAATTTAATAAATTGAATAATGATATCAAACAGAGTTCGAATTTAAAAATGTTTAAGGTGAAATTAAAAAGTCGCTTTATGAATAATCAAAATAGATAGTGACGTAATTTTAATTTTAATTTTAATAGACAAGGATGTAAAATTACAGAAAATAGATTGAAGAAAAATATGTAACCGAATCATTATACAAAATTGACATTGTAGCATTACTGCTAAATAAATCTTCAACAACAACAGCAACTAGTGCATAATATAGCCGAACAGTATAATCTCATAATCAATCCTTCCTTACCGTTCTTCTGTGCCTTCTTGCACTTAGACCGATCCTTCTTGGAGAACTCGGCCAAAACATCCTCTACATTCTGCTTGCTCGCATGCGGAACGTAATCCTTCTCATAATCATCCTCTCGCTCCTTGTTCTTCTTTTCTTCCTTGGCTATCTCAGGGAACAACTTGTAGTGGTAGGTGTCGAAGTCCCTGTCCCCGGCTGGGGCTTCCTCTTGCTTCTCTTTGGACTCTGCTTCGTGATGGTGGTCATCTTCGTCGTGCTTGTGGTTGCCATGCTGGTGCTCGTCGTCGGCGGTACCTGAGGACGGGTACTGATTGTATACAGGGTGGTCCAAACGATGTGGGATCTTAACGTGGTCATAAGGTTCTACTGGGTAGTCCAGTTTTCTAGATAGCTTATTTTTTTTGATTTGTAAGAATTAGAAAGAAGGAGCAGTGAATATAAGAAAGTCTCACAAGATTTAGATGATTGTTCATCCAGAATTTCCTTGTGTTAAGCTAAATCTGTGTTTCTTGATAAAGAGAATAATTACTGAAAAGTTGCAGAAAACAGAGTTTTTTTTTATACTCCAACTACCACGAAGGCCTAAGGCCTAAGCACCCATTGGGTACCGTGGGGCTATAGGGGGGTACATGGGAAAGGGGGAACGCCACACGGACTCTGGCGAGGGAACACGTGTACATGCAACATGCACACATTCTGGCTCCGCCTACGAGATCCGCCGGGTGGTACCTCCGCGTTCGACAGTCAGAGACCGTCTACCACCTACGGACAATCACAACATCCATAGCCAAGAGAAAAATTTCTCCTGGGACGGGACTCGAACCCGTACAGCGCACGGCGACTGAGCAGGAGACCGAAGAGTCTACTACTGCGGCCACCGCTGCTGCCTTTTTTCGATTACGGGTTGAACTGCTTCTAATCAAATACTTAAAAGACGAAAGAAATTTAAATAGCTCTTTTTGCGACTTTTCCAAAGCTTTTGACTATGTAAATCAGTGGTCGCCAGACTTTTCAGTGTGTTGAGCTACTTTGATAATTTTTGGAATACACAATGAGCTACGTAGTCGGCCCTTCAGCCGTTCAGTTTTAAACTGAGCGCACTGTCGCCGCGCCTTGAGTATTTATTCCGTTCAAAGTAATCGAGATCGTTCTTAAACAGATCGCTCACCGCAGTGTTGCCGCTGTTTGTGTTTATTATGAGAATTTACAAAATTTACGGAAGCTTCTATGATTTTTACACCTTTTTGAAATGTCGCGATCCACTAGAATTGCTTTTACGAGCTACCGGTAGCTCGCGATCGACGGTTAGCGACCACTGGTATAAATCGTGATATACGATTAAAAAAAATAAACAAATACGATTGTACTGGAACTTCACTCAGTTGGTTTGAAAACATTTTTAAAAAGCAATCCTTAATTGTAAAATTATCAAGACATGCAAATAAATTGAATATAAGCGCGGGGATACCTCAAGGATCAGTATTAGGTCGAATCCCATTCTGGGTCAATATTAACGATTTAATAAATTTAACTATAAATCGTAAATTGGTAGTATTTGTTGATGATACCACAATACAAATACAGATGTGGACCTCCGGTAATCCGACAAATTACATATCCAATGGTAAGATTATATATGTTATGTATATATATGTACTTTGAAGTAGAAATCATACATAGTTTATGTATGCCGAATTTAGTAAATTAAATAACAATAGAGAGCAAAGTAATCAAGAATTATTAATCAAAATCATTAATGAATTTATCAAATTATGAAGCTTGGAAATATTCATCAATTTTTTTTTTGTTTAAGGTTGTTATAACGCGAGATGAGAGCTATGTCCCTCAGTCTTCTCAAAAGTAAAAGTTCGTTGTAGAATGTACCATTCTCTTCAGTCCATTGTAAACCTAGCTCAAAGGCGTTAATTGCGTCTTGTGCTGTGACTTGTGGAGCAGTTGCAATTACGCTGTCGTTATTTTCCTGATTGTTTGTTGTATAATTAGAAACTTCTTTTATAATCTCTTCGTCAGACATTTCATGAAAAACGTTTTCCTCTTTATCCATTCCACGGCACCCGATTTCCAAATCTTCCGGACTTATCTGTGTTTCAGTAGCAACTTGTTCTATAACTTCCGAAGTAACCCTGATTTGTGGATCGTTGCTAGGAGTGGTGACTATATCTGGCCATAATTTTTTCCAAGACGATTTAATAGTTGATGACGGTAACGAATTCCACGACTGACAAAGAGCAAAAACCAAGTCTTTCATATACTAAGTGACATATAAATCCGAACACCCAGTTTAAATGGTTTTATTTTAATAAAAGTTGGTGAATGTATTTATCTTACTGTAAATAACAAGTGAAACAATTTTCAGCCTTATCAGTTGGACATTCCGGTTTTTATACTGCTTTTTTTTTAATTCACTAACGCTCTAAAAATGAATATTTCAGCCGCAGTAAAGAATCAACGTTGGCGGATTTTGGTTCTTGACATCCTTTACGATCGGTTACGATGCCTAGAGTACGGAGACCTGTACGATTTCGTCAACTTAGTGAGTTTGATAGGGGCCGTATAGTGGGACTTCGGGAAGCTGGACTTTCTTTTCGGGCAATTGCAGTTAGAGTGCAAAGAAGTGTAGACACTGTGGTTAGGTGTTGTCAGGCATGGCTTCGAGAAGGCCGTACGCAAAGAGCAAGGGGCACTGGACGCCGCCGTAGAACAACAGACCGTGAAGATCGCCGCCTAAGATTATTGGCCTTAAGGGACCGTTTCTCCACTACCAGTGGTTTGCAGAACACGGAAGACCTATTGGCATGCGAAGTGTTTACCGACGAATGAGAAGTTTTGGCTTGTTTTCATACCGGCCACACTGGGTCCTCCCTTTAACTCGAGAACACCGACGTAATCGCCTTGAGTGGTGCAGACAACGGTCACTCTGGGATCAGGAATGGAACAGTATTGTCTTTAGTGACGAGTCTCGATTTTGTTTAGGCATGCACGATGGTCGTGCCAGGGTTAGAAGGCGACGTGGTGAAAGGAGGAATCCACAGTTTTTTGTTGAAAGACATGTTCATCACACTGTTGGAGTTATGGTTTGGGGTGCTATAGCTTATGGTTCCAGGTCACCTTTAATCTTCATCAGAGGTAACATGAACGCGCAGCGTTATATCCACGAAGTTCTAGAACCCCATCTTTTACCCTATCTTGTCACCCTGGCAGATCCAACTTTCCAACAAGATAATGCCCGACCACATGTTGCAAGAGTCACAATAGACTTCTTTCAACATAATGATGTCACATTGTTACCATGGCCACCAAGATCTCCCGACTTATCCCCAATTGAGCACGTGTGGGATATGATGGGTAGGAGATTGCTCAATTTGCAACGTCTTCCTCAGACTCTAGAAGCACTTCGAGAGGAGTTGGTGGTTGCCTGGAATGATATACCACAGGAGGACATTGACCACCTGATCAGAAGCATGCCTAGGTGCGTTGGAGAATGCGTAGCACATCAGGGTGCATCCACACATTATTAAAGGTCAAAGGGCTTTAAAGCAGTGCAATCATTTTGAAATTTTTATCATTTACTTATTATGCTTCATTAGGTACTTATACAAAATTTAAACTGGGTGTTCGGTGTCACTTAGTATATCATATTTTTCTTTAATTGTCAATGTTTTATTCTTTCGCTTCTGAGTTTGTGATGACATTACTAAGTACTATACTTAATATACAATGAATAAATAGTAAACAATGAACGCACTCTAGGCCGTACCGCTATCGCCAGTAGTCAAATTCAAACTAAGTAAAACAATGCGTACAAGTTGTAACTTGTTCAAGCCTGCGTGATCCACATTAGCGAATATTGTCAAATACGTACGTATGTAATACATATTCAAAGACATGTCCGATTACAGGGGGCGCCGGATTCGACAGGGGCCGGATTATCGGGGGTCCACTGTAAATGAAATTGAGACAGAAATTCATAGTGAAACAAATTTAACCAGAAGAATCTTGATACCGTATTTTTAGAACAACTCTCTTATATCCGTTAATGATTTTTTGGCCATTCAACATCACCTACCTCCATGCCTGACGGTCTCCGAAAAGTGCTTTGGAATATCATAGGACACCGTCTGGTCAGTCTTTCTATGTACCTCCCCTCTGTACTCCCTCTCGTTAGCCGTAGGCTTCACGTGCTGCTGTTGTTTCTGTTGGTCCTGTTGTCCCTCTTGTTCTCTTTGCCCGTGGTCGTGGTCATGCTGGTGTCCGAAACGGTCCGACTTGTGGTGCATGTGGAAATGGGGCTGGTGAGTCTCTCGGGAGGTGTGAGGATTGAGGAAGTGCTCCTTGTGTTCGTGGTCGTAATCGTGGAGGTCGACCTCTGGAGTATTTTGAGGTTGCGAGGATTGTTGGGAAGCGTCGCTTTTCGTGGCTTCGTCGTAACTGACTGTTTGGGTTTCTTGCTTCGCTGCCTTTGTACTCTGTAAAAATGAACGGGAGAGTCAAGTCGGGTTTGGAAGCAGTAGTCTGAGAAGGCAAGTGTTTTGAACATTCCTAGCTTGAGCCTTGCGATATTCTATAACAGCGAGAAGCTAGAAAATAATGCAAAAACGGAGTCAACAAATTAATGCATGTCCACAACATAACTATGTACTTAGAGGAGAGTGTACACTAGAAAAAACGTGTTCACAATACTTTGTATCTGCCTCAAAAGAGGTTTGGGAGGCTTAAGAATATCTCTATACAACACAGACAAAATAACTGTACTTAAAAGAATGTTAAAGTGGTGTTTTAGCATCAGTGCTTGCTACGACTTCACTTCATCTTACTCCCAAAAATGGATCAAAATCAAATGTTGGTGCCAGCAGAACTAGAGATAAGCCACATATAGAGATGATCTAGATATATGGAATGTCCAAAAATTTGTATAAAATTGGAAAACACAACTATTATTTGCTTAATATCTCTCACATAATACAGATTCAGAATATTCTATAGAAAGTTGTTTCAACAATTTTAATGCATCTTGATATGTATTTCCAGCACAGTAAAGGATTTTAGTAAGCTGGGCTCACATCTGCTCGATCACAAGGCGTTTTTCAGGAACGGCATCAGAAATTTCCTATCAGATTGTTGTAGAATTTTTCTCGAACAATAAAAAGGGCTACATCCTAAAGTTCTCATACACTAGTCGAGTACTCGCAGCTGCTAGCAGTTTCGATTAAGCTTCATGTGAATTATATATAAAGATATACGACCAACTTTCTCTATATCGAAGAATCCACACATCATCACTATGTAAAAACCAAAATATTTATTCTAGGAGCTAATGCTGTAGCTTGCCAAGCAAGACATCTGATTATATCAAATACTGAGACATCTAGATTCAAGTCTTACTACCTAAATAACTTATACACCGAAAGCTGGCGATGTGTGAATCTTGTGATTAATTGTTTTGTTATTGTTTAGATTTTTCAAGAGTTGGCAAGAACTAAAAACAAAATGACCGACAGGGCAGGCACTCGTTTTTGTCATTTCGCTTTGTTGGTATCTCAGTAAGTTTATTTGATATGATTCAGTGCATACTGACATATGAAGAAAAACTGTTTTTTTCACTAAAGCCTAAAGCGTAAGGTCTGGCGTCTCCAAGGCCATTCAACAAGTGGGTACATTCAACTTTATTTGAATTCGAATGGAAGATTCTGCATTCACCATTATTTCGATTGAATTAAGTGATAGCTTCCACCATTTTTATAAACGCCTGTAATAATAATGTAAAAATAATTTCTCAACGTTGACTCCTCATTTTATGGGACGTCCAAGCAGGCAGTACTCTTGTTGAAGCGTTTTGCTATAATTACAACACCTATTCCCCAGCCACCATGAACATAGATCGCAGCATATGGCCCGGATAGGTATCTGGACTATATTAGCAATATCTCGGCTACTTCTTCGCAATATTGTCTGCAATATGTGGACAGATACCCTTTTCAAAATGTAGGTTTCTGATAGTCTGACAATCGGACATCAATAAATGAAAATAATGCAGTAAGCTTATAGAGACTCGATTAAGAAAAATTGAAGCAAAAGAATGTGGTGAAAGTTACTTGGACGACAAATTATTTTAGTTTTCAAGATATCAAGAGCAGCTTTTTCAATGATAGTTTCTAAAGCACAAATAGTCGTTGATGTCAGATAATTCGATATATCGTTAAGTTAAATTTTCCTCAAGGACTGACAAAATACAGTCGGGGCTTAAAAACTAAAAGTATTTCAGACTTGGAAGCCATTCTTGTAATGTCCAGTGCCTCTTTAGATTTCTTGCAACTACCCTTTTCATCTAACAATTTCATGGTGTGTATAGAGATCACTAAGAAACAATATTTTCATTTTGTCTTTTTTGTCAAAAGATGCATCTTTTGTAGATTTTATTGCGAACTTTTTCTTCCATCGGAACTTGCAAGCAAATATAAGCACAGCTCTAAAATTGTGAGTTAATATTCCTCTTTTATGAAAGAATGAAACAAGTGATTGCTTTTGTTCTTATCACTTTTCCGTTTCGAAAAATCTTTGATTTTCTTGAAGCCTCGTCTCGCAGCAAGTTCGGTTTTCAAGAAAAGCTAAGATTTTTTGAAGAGAAAAAGTGATAAGAATAAAAGTAATCACTTGTTTCATTCATCCATAACTGTGGAATATTCACACACAATTCCAGAGCTGTACTAATATTAGTTAACAAGTTACGATCGAAGAAAAAAATGCATTTTATGACAAAACAAAGTTAAAAATGATGTTTTTTAGTCAACTCGATATCAGGAAGTAATAAGATGAAAAGGGAAGTGCGGCCTTAAATGCAACAGATTAGTATATTCTGAATATATGCAGTATTTTGAAGAGTTATTTTTTTCACAGTGGAACTCCATTTGAGTATGAATCTTTGTTTGAATTATGGGACCAGGAAAATGTAAACACCAAATGTACTTTTGATATGCTTTTGTATTTTGTCCACCGTTTCAGTCACTTTATAACAAAAATAGAATTTCTCACATTCTTCTAAATTATCGAGTATCATAACAACCAGGTTCTATAACAAAAAATAATTCCTCACATTTATCTAAATTAACGACTATACGAACTACAGTCTATCCAATGCCAAGATAAGGTAAACCAACCAATGCACTATTCGCATCATACTTGAAACCTGAAGAATTAGACAGGGCCGTATTCAAAATCGTTTTGCAAATATTACGATAGAAATTTAGTTTCCCTGTCTTACAATAATGCAGATAAAACACCAGGTATTGTCAAAAATTACGGTGAATTAATTGGATGCATTTATGGGAGGCCAAAGAAAACAGTGTGACCACACAACCAATACCGAACGAGACATGAAATGTAATGACACCATAGTAAAAGACTGGCCAAGAGTGTCTGAGGTCGAGCTGACGTCACGTGACACGATGCGCGGGCCTGATGCGCAACCGCTTCTTATTTAAAAAATGGCCCTCGTACCTAGTATGCCATTCGAGTCTTATTCCCTCTCAAATCAATACATGGTTTCCCCAATTTTCTCTGTAGGTTACCACCGCTCATAATAATTTCAGAAAGACTGCTTTAAATGAATGCAAATACAAAAATTAATGCGCTATATTTTTTTGTCTCACCTCGTATTTATAGGTTGGAAAATCTCGAAACTGGAGATACTACAGACCAAAATATGTGAATTGACCTAAACATACCTCAGTCCAAAAGTTGATACTTTGCGAGTTACATGGTGTTTTATTTTCCATTTTTCCTTATTGCTTGAGAATTATTTCAGATTTTGGCTATAAGGAGGTTTTGTAGTACGAGAAATAAGCATCCGTTATTTTTTATGGCCAAACTTCTAGAGGGCGCCGCTTACACACATCTCCATAAATAACTTATCATAACTTTTTTGTGCTACCCTGTATACAACAACTGACCAAAACATCTTGTTTGTTCGTATTTAGTCGACAAAAAAGGTTTACTTGATAAAAGTGTCTAAAGCTAATATTTTTCGAGATATTTGCTTTTGAAGAGTTCCAATGCATTATTTGTACCATGATAATAAAACATTTTTATAACATAAAAATCAAGTTGCTTTGGATAATATATGTTGCTATCGTTTCTAGTGTTCGTCATAATATTGCTTTAAACTTCATGAATAATTTTAAGTTGACAATAAGTCGTTAAACATCATGGAGTATACGTTTGATTATTATGTTATAAAAATATCACCATAGTACAAATAATGCATTGGAACTTTAAAAAACAAATATCTCGAAAACTATAAGCTTATGTCACTTCTAACAAGTAAACCTTTTTTGTTTTGGAAATACGAGAAAATAAGATTTTTGGGTCAGTTATTGTATACAGGGTAGCACAGGAAAGTTATGGTAAGTTATTTACCGAAACAGTGCTGTAAGTGGCGCCCTCTAGAAGTTTGGCCATAAAAAATAACGGATTCTTGTTTCAGATACTATAAAACCTCCCTATACCGAGTTTTATGGCAAAATCTGTAACTTTTATATATTATATATATTATGTTGTACCCTATCTTGGATTTGGACGCGGTTTAGATGCCTATAATACCTGAGGAGTGTTTATCCCGACTTGAGTTTGAGTGCCTTCCAGGTTATTCCTTTTCTTGGGACTCTTGGTTTGATAACTTCGATGTTTCTCCTCGACCTTTTCGACGTCGCGCTGCCTCGGGTGTTGCCTTCTTCGCTGAGCGGGTTTTTCAGTGCTCGAAACCTTCTGAGATTGCACCTTGGACTCTTCCGAGACCTCGACGGTTTTTTCTTTAGGTTTGTCTTTTTCCTCTTCGGGTTGATCGCTGTCGTATTTCTTTTCTTTGACGTACGCGTATTTCTTCTCCGTTGGGGCCGAGGCGTAGGAGCAAGATTCATAATTGCCTGGAAAAAATACAATTACAATTTTACATAGTTTTCAGGATTATTAAAATTTCTGAAATCTGGGAAATTTTAGAATTCTAGGTTTTTCACTACATTCATTGTTTACAGGGTTATTAAAATTTTCAAGATTTCACAAAATATGTACGCTTGAATAACTCTTAAACATTTAGTAGCTTTAGAGCGCTGGAAATGATATACTAAGTGACAAATAAATCCGAACACCCAGTTTAAATGGTTTTATTTTAATAAAAGTTGGCGAATGTATTTATCTTACTGTAAATAACAAGTGAAAAAATTTTCAGCCTTATCAGTTGGACATTCCGGTTTTTATACTGCTTTTTTTTAATTCACTAACGCTCTAAAAATGAATATTTCAGCCGCAGTAAAGAATCAACGTTGGCGGATTTTGGTTCTTGACATCCTTTATGATCGGTTACGATGCCTAGAGTAGGGAGACCTGTACGATTTCGTCAACTTAGTGAGTTTGATAGGGGCCGTATAGTGGGACTTCGGGAAGCTGGACTTTCTTTTCGGGCAATTGCAGTTAGAGTGCAAAGAAGTGTAGGCACTGTGGTTAGGTGTTGTCAGGCATGGCTTCGAGAAGGCCGTACGCAAGGAGCAAGCGGCACTGGACGCCGCCGTAGAACAACAGACCGTGAAGATCGCCGCCTAAGATTATTGGCCTTAAGGGACCGTTTCTCCACTACCAGGTCCATTGCAAATGAATGGTTTGCAGAACACGGAAGACCTATTGGCATGCGAAGTCTTTACCGACGAATGAGAAGTTTTGGCTTGTTTTCATACCGGCCACACTGGGTCCTCCCTTTAACTTGAGAACACCGACGTAATCGCCTTGAGTGGTGCAGACAACCGTCACTCTGGGATCAGGAATGGAACAGTATTGTCTTTAGTGACGAGTCTCGATTTTGTTTAGGCATGCACGATGGTCGTGCCAGGGTTAGAAGGCGACGTGGTGAAAGGAGGAATCCACAGTTTTTTGTTGAAAGACATGTTCATCACACTGTTGGAGTTATGGTTGGGGGTGCTATAGCTTATGGTTCCAGGTCACCTTTAATCTTCATCAGAGGTAACATGAACGCGCAGCATTATATCCACGAAGTTCTAGAACCCCATCTTTTACCCTATCTTAACACCCTGGCAGATCCAACTTTCCAACAAGATAATGCCCGACCACATGTTGCAAGAATCACAATAGACTTCTTTCAACATAATGATGTGACATTGTTACCATGGCCTCCAAGATCTCCCGACTTATCCCCAATTGAGCACGTGTGGGATGTGATGGGTAGGAGATTGCTCAATTTGCAATGTCCTCCTCAGACTCTAGAAGCACTTCGAGAGGAGTTGGTGGTTGCCTGGAATGAGATACCACAGGAGGACATTGACCACCTGATCATAAGCATGCCTAGGCGCGTTGGAGAATGCGTAGCACATCAGGGTGCATCCACACATTATTAAAGGTCAAAGGGCTTTAAAGCAGTGCAATCATTTTGAAATTTTTATCATTTACTTATTATGCTTCATTAAGTACTTATACAAAATTTTATTAAAATAAAACCATTTAAACTGGGTGTTCGGATTTATATGTCACTTAGTATATAATCTTTATACATATACAGGGTGTTCCAACCATGCAAAGACGAGTATGGCTAAGGCTATATGGTATCTGGAGGCATATTTTTGAAATTTCCACAGTTATACAGGGTGTCCCAATTTTGACTCACAAATCAAAGCTGCTTAATCAAGTAGAATGTTCCACTTTTTATTAAATATTCAGATACACCCTTTTATTAGAAGGAGATTGATTGGACATACTTATGGGTTGTTGAGCTATTGGGTATTTTATCTAAAAACATCAAGGTTTAATAGTCTGTTAGTTAGGATTAGTTAATGATATGCCAAAAAATATTTCATAATACTCAATTTTAACATAACTCAACCGTTTTTCAAATTTTATGGACCACCCTGTATATGTTTACACTGTCGGACCCCCATTTCTATAAGGTTTTTTTGTATGAGGTTACTACCCGCTCATTGAAAGGGTTTCTGAGTTACAGCTATTTGTTTCAAAAAATTGGATATCTGTTTCTCTATTCAAACAAGTCACATCATCCATGGAAACAAAAAACAAAAAGGATTGTTGACAATGTGTCTTCAAAATCAGGCTTCCATTCGGAAACCAAGTGATTCAATGCTTCCATGTTGTAATTCGTTATTACAATTTGATATTATAATATAAAATTAATTTTTTGAGGTAACAATTTGATGGTTTCCAAAATCAGCATTTCAGAGATTTTAATTTTCAAGTCCTCGACATTATTAAAATATTAGAAAGTTTAATTATTCAAAAAGTTAATTAACAAACAGTTTCCAAGAATATCGAAATTTTTCAAATCTCGATTTTCAGTATTTTCAAAATATTCAAAAATTTGTAAGCTCCCAAGGTTTTCCAAACTGAATCAATGAATTAATAAAAATTTTCTAGAATATTTTCAGATTTTTTATGTTTCGCGGTTTTTAAGAACAACACAATTTTTAGAATTATCAATTTTTTGGAATTTTTGAAATTTCTAAAATCCTCTCCAAAATGTTTGAGGTTACTAAGATTTACAAGATTCTCAAAATTTCCAGGCATTCCAAAATTTTTAGAAATCCTCAATTTACTCTACTCTTATTCGTTTGATATTATAAAACAAAATTAATCTTTTGGAGTGTCTAAAAATGACGCCTATAAGTAAAGGTAACTAAAATTCAAACTATTTGGGAGGTTTCCAAAATTTTCAGTATTTCAGTGATTTTTAATTTCTTTAAAATCCTCGACATTTTAAAAATATAAGTAACTCTAAGTATTCAAAAAGTTAATTAATAGCCTTAAAAAGTTTCCAAGAATATCAAATTTTTTCAAATCTCAGTTTTCAGTATTTTCAAAATATTCAAAATTTGTTAAACTTCAGAGGTTTTCCAAATTGAAAAATTTTTGAATTAATAAAAATTATCTCGAATATTTTCAGATTTTTTATTTTTTGCGGTTTTTAAGAACAAAAATTTTTTTAGAATTCTAAATTTTTTGTAATTTTTGAATTTCCTAAAATCCCCTCCGAAATTTTTGAGGTTACTAAAATTAATTTTTTGGAGTGTCCAAAAATGACGCCTATAAGTAAAGGTAACTACAATTCAAACTATTTGGGAGGTTTCCGAAATCTGGAAAGTTTCCAAAATTTTCAGTATTTCAGAAATTTTCAATTTCTTTCAAGTCCTTGATATTTTTAAAATATTAGAAAGTTCAATTATTAAAAAGTTAATTGACAATCCTTACAGTTTCCAAGAATACAAAAATTTTTCAAATCTCGATTTTCTGTATTTTCAAAGTATTCAAAATTTGTTAAATTTCCAAATTGAATAATTTTTATATTATTCAAAAATTTTCAAACTTCCCGTATATTTCCAGATTGTTTTATCTTTCGGAGTTTTTGAAAACAACAAAATATTCAGAATTCTTTTTTTCGCAATTTTTTACGTTTCTAAAATCCCCTCCGAAATTTTTGAGGTTACTGAAATTTACAAGATTCTCAAAATTTTCAGGCATTCCAAAACTTTTAGAAATCAGGGTTTCAAAATTATTCAGTATTTTCCAAAACATGTATAATATCAAATAAACTTCCTGAATTCTTGATGTGGGGGAACTAGAACCAGAACTAGAGCTGGTAAGTTTAATACGTTTTCCTTCAAGGAGTTTGTTTATTCCGCCAGAATCGGCAGCCTCTAGCGGTCTCTATATCGACTGGGCTATCAAACCATATCGTTAATGGCCATACACTCTATGAGTGGTCGATTCTGGTAATAGATGGCGCTTTGTGTTGTCTTATTTCGATTGACCAATATCGTTTCCAAAAATAAATGCGCCACTTCACATCCTATAAAAGGATTCATTTCATACCTCCAGACGTTTTGTCCTTGCACACCATACACGTCATGCCTTCTCTGTCCACTTTCTGACAGTTCTCGGGGTTCTTCTTGATCTTTTCAGCCTGCATCTCAGAGTAGCTCAACTCGCCTTTGCTTTCTTCATATGACTCGGGTTCGTACTGGAACTCAGGGCCGTAATCACCTAAAATATGATCAATCATCGATACACATAGGGTCGCACACGTTCGGAATTCCGACTCGGTATAGCCCAGGAATATTAGACAGTTTTTATTGAACAATGGCAGTTGAAATAAATTTCTGGATTATTCCGAATTCGAATTGGCAAATTTCCTAAATAACATTATTGTCAAAAAAACATCACGAAAAATAAATAAGGAAATTTACCTCTTTCCCGTAATTACGGTCTATGCTTTCAAAGGATTTTCCATGGAAATTGCCGATGGGGAAACGCTTCAGCAGTTACTATAAGCACATTACACGCATGTCTGTCATTTCCTCAAAAGCGTGATTTTCCATCACAATAACCAAGACAAAAACTTTTTAATAAAATTTCGCAAAGAAAATTACGTGAATATTTCTTTCCTAGACGCGCAAATGATTTTTTGTTTACCAAATTTTGTCCAGACATGCAATAAAACGGTTTTTATCTTTTTTCTTCGAAAAAAGGCAGTCTCTTAGAGAATTAGAAGCTGTTGAACCAATTACACTGATCAACAGCCAAAAAATATCCTAAATAAAATCAACAAAATATTACTATTTTTAATGTGCTAAAACCGGAATGAAACTTATTTTTTCAATATTAGTTCAAGTTCTAGAGATACGGTAATTGTATGTGTTCCTGCTGTGACAGTGTTAATATACTGTAATTCACAAGAATGCACGTGCTACATTTTTATATTCGGCAAGGAAAGATGATGTAATCGGCATGATTGTGTTACGTTATACATACGTGTACATTATATTGTTTTATATTAGCTATTTTTTCCTCAGTTGGTTGACAGCGTTCATGCAAGATGTCTCGAATGTGTGTAAACAATCCAGATCAGTTTTGTTACGTGTGTGGTGATGTGACTTTTGCGTCTCAGAGACGGTCTATTACTCCACTAATAACAAAGGCATATCAGCTTTATTTCGGTTGTAAACTAGGTGATCAAGACAAACAGTGGGCACCCCACATCTGCTGTAATACATGTGCTTCAAGTCTGAGGAGCTGGTTAAATGGCAAAAAACGGTCGATGCGCTTTGCTGTCCCAATGGTTTAGAGAGAGCGTACAAATCATATTAATGATTGTTACTTTTGCATGGTACCTTGTGTTGGACAAGCCACAGGTATGTCCAAGAAAAAAAAATCGGTTATTAACTACCCAAACATACCATCTGCGATGAGACCTGTGCCGCACAGTGACGAAAATCCTATTCCAAAACCCCCAGAATCGTACACTTGCGAATCAGAAAACGAATCAGATCATGGCGATCGAGTGATTCGTCAGGAAGAAGATATGCCATCAACGTCAAGAGATCCTGATTTTATACCGAGCACGTCATGCCACCAACCGCACAAAATAACACAGTCAGAATTAAATGATCTTGTAAGAGATTTAGAACTTCCAAAATGTAAGGCAGAGTTACTTGGATCAAGACTGCAGCAGTGGAACTTGTTAGAAGACGATGTTTCGGTATGTGTTTTTCGTAAACGCCACAAAGACTTAGAACCATTTTTCAATATGGAGAATAACTTGGTTTTCTGCAGTAACATTAACGGCTTACTGGCGGCTTTAAATATAAACTATAACCCAGAAGAATGGAGATTGTTTATAGACATTTCAACATTGAGTTTAAAGGCAGTGTTATTGCATATTGGAAATATTTTACCATCTCTTCCTGTAGGGTATGCAGTTCACATGAAAGAATCATATGACAATATGAAGTACCTATTGACATGCATAAAATACGATGAGCACCAATGGCATATTTGTGGCGATTTGAAAGTTGTTGCACTTTTACTTTGGGCTGCAGCTAGGCTACACAAAGTTTTGCTGTTTTTTGTGTGAATGGGACAGTCGGGCAAAGGCACTTCATTACACCAGACAAAACTGGCCTGTTCGTCAATTCCTAGAGCCAGGTCAAAAAAATGTACAGCATATGCCATTAGTAGATTCGAAAAAAATTTTATTACCACCACTGCATATCAAGTTGGGCCTAATGAAAAACTTTGTCAAGGCATTAGATAGAGATGGGTCAGCTTTTCAATACCTGCGTCAGAAATTTCCAAGACTAAGTGAGGCAAAGGTTAAAGAAGGTATTTTTGTTGGGCCACAGATTCGAAATATTTTGAAAGATACACAGTTTAAAAACACTTTAACAGGTATTGAAAAAACTGCTTGGAATGATTTCCGTCTGGTGGTCACTAATTTCTTGGGAAATAGAAAAGCTGACAACTATAAAACCCTTGTCAAAAATATGCTGTCATCGTATCAAAAGATGGGCTGTAATATGTCTCTTAAGATACATTTCCTACACTCACATCTGGACTTTTTTCCTGACAATTGCGGAGCCGTAAGTGATGAGCACGGCGAACGTTTTCATCAGGATATTTCAACAATGGAAAAAAGATACCAGGGAAAGTGGAATCCTTCCATGCTTGCGGACTACTGTTGGACTCTTGGTAGAGATGCTCCAGAAACGATCCATAAAAGAACAGCAAAAAGACAGCGCATATAGTGATTCTTATAAGTATATGAATCTTGTTATTTTTTTTAATATATCCTTAAAAATAAAAAGTTTTTTCTAAATCGCAACTAATTTTTTTATTTCATTATCATTTTTGGATTCAGCGCCCCAAAATTAACAAAGAAGTGCACTTTTCCCACAAGATACAATTAAAAAACTAAAATTTGTTGTCCAGTGATTTATAGATTTCAAGGTAACCAAAATTAAAAACTCGACGGGTATTCCATTCCAAATGCGAATTTCGGAAAGGGATATTTTTCAGATTTTGATTAAATTTCTTGCATACACACCTATATGTCCGTGCCCAGCGTCCTCGAACGACTTGTGGGTCCTCTGCCTGATGAGGTCGTACGGATCCTGGCCTTTGTCCGCGTACCTCTTGTTCCTCCTATCCAGGGCACGTGAAGGCGGTAAATGGTCCATGTGGAACTTTTCCGTGTTCTCCTTGTAGTATTTCACGGGGTCGTGCTTCTGGGCGTACGAGCACTGGGTGAATTTGGACTTCGAGCCGGGGTCTTCGCATATGAAGCAGTTCATATCTGGTTTGTGTTTGGGACTCTGGATGGGTCTGAAATCAGGACGAATCGAGGCTTAACATTGAACAAGTCCAAGCTTACGACCAACAATTCTTTCATATATATATATATATATATAACAAAAATAGAAAAATAATGGACAAAATCCGCAAAAAGTGGATTCGAGCAGAAAATAGGATAGGTAACCCGAGCGATACGTATTTCTGCTGGTTGGCTTCATCAGGCCCGAAATGAATGCACATATGCAACTACAAAAGTAGAGACACATGCCCATACATCCGGATACGGGTGTAACCTGAGGAAACAAAGATGGAGAGGAAAAAAGTCACACGAAGTCCACAACAAGAGCCAACCTACACATTGTAGTATAAAATGGCTAGAAGACCTCGAATTTTCAAGGCGACAAATAACCACAACCACGCGGCCGGTTATAGCCACTTGCTGTGGTACTTCAAGCCCAAAGGATCTACAAAGAGAAAATTATTGGCTCTTGTTGTGGACTTCGTGTGACTTTTTTCCCTCTCCATCTTTGTTTCCTCAGGTTACACCCGTATCCGGATGTATGGGCATGTGTCTCTACTTTTAAAGTTGCATATGTGCATTCATTTCGGGCCTGATGAAGCCCACCAGCAGAAATACGTATCGCTCGGGTTACCTATCCTATTTTCTGCTCGAATCCACTTTTTGCGGATTTTGTCCATTATTTTCCTATTTTTGTTATATACCTTTCTCCGCATGATAATTTTCTCTCTCTCTCTCTCTATATATATATATATATATATATATAGGTGAAAAATTAAAGCTTCCGCCTTTTGTTGGGTACTTCGACAAGATTTAAGCAAAGAGGACTCTTTATACTTTTTTTAATTCTCTCTAGCTTTCAATGGACTTTGCCATCATCATCAGGAGAGTAGTATGTGAGGATGTTGCTAATTGTTGTTTACGTATAGGATGAGGGAAACGTCCAGTAACATGGTGAGAGCTGAATAGATTGCACAATAGTGCAGCTCTCACCATGTTACTGGACGTTTCCCTCATCCTATACGTAAACAACAATTAGCAACATCCTCACATACTACTCTCCTGATGATGATGGCAAAGTCCATTGAAAGCTAGAGAGAATTAAAAAAAGTATAAAGAGTCCTCTTTGCTTAAATCTTGTCGAAGTACCCAACAAAAGGCGGAAGCTTTAATTTTTCACCTAACTGGTCTAGACGACAATGACCACGTCTCAAGTTATATATATATATATATATGCGTATATATGCATTTCACAGACTCTATCTTCCGTGGGTGGGAAAGGATATACCTCATTTTTGTATTCTTTTTTTGTGTCATTATGTAGGCATTTCTGCGAGATGTTAACTTAGCACTAGCTAATGGACACGTTGTGAACTCGTTTTGTCGTTGCACGTGTTGCCTAAACGTAATGACGCTTCAGTTATTATTATTATTATTATTATTATTATTATTATTAAACAACAAATTTGAGTTGAGTACAAGTACTATAAACTCAAACACATAATAGATAATAGTGTACAGACAAAAGAAATATAACAATTTGACAATCTTAGCACTTCTGAAGTAGACATATGCGGAATGGGAACAATACGTTAAGCACTGCGGTGTCTATCATAATTGTTTTTGAAACTGTTGACGGATGCCGAGTTCACTACATAAGATGGAAGACTGCTCCATGCATCGAAGACACGATTTGAGATAAAGCGCTGACGAGTAGAGGTTATAAAAGCTTCCTTCTACAATTTGAAGTTATGACCTCTGAGATTGTTCGTTGCCAGACGAAACAGATGCGAGATGCCCACACCAAACAAATTATGCAGTGCTCTGAAGGTCATGATGAGATCTCCTCGCATTCTTCTATCAGCAAGAGCAGGCAGGTGATATAACTCGAGGCGGTCTTCATAACTTGGCTTACGTGTGCCATAAGGCATACGTGTAGCACGTCGCTGAACGGCCTCTAATAAGCTGCTATCGCGAACAAGGTTTGATATATAGCAACCGCTTTGCCTTAGAGGTTATGTTCTGGATGTGCTCCGACTATGTGAGACGGGCATTAACTGTCAGATCTGTGTGAAGAAAAACAGTCTCTAAGGTATGTTTGCCAATCTTATATGTTAAGTTAGGATTATTCTTTCCCAGGTGGAGAACGTAGCATTTCGAGAGATTTAAAGGCAGGAGCCAAAGTTCAGACCGCTTTCTGATCATCTTGAGGTCTTCTTGAAGCACAGATGGGTTCATGGCAGTGTTATAGACTAACAGTAGTAGTAAAAAATCGTAATTTATAACTTTGAACAGCTAAAAGATATACTTCATTGGCAGCATATTCAGTAATAATTTTCTCACACAGCAAATATCACAGATTTTATGCACATGCAGACCAATACACATAATCGTACAGATGCGATCATGCTATTCAACCAACTTTCTTCTCAGCGATGGAAGCTACAGACTACTCGGCTTCATAAAACGTATGCAACCAGCAATGCGTGTACTTGGGTAATTCCTTCATAGATGGACGTTCACCGCAAGATGACATTTTATTGCTTTTTTAACGAAGTTAATTGTCTTTTTATATAATACCCGTACCGAAGTATTTTGAATTTCGAAACTTTCCAAGCGGCATTTTTTGTAATCCTAAATACGCAACGTTGCTCCCCACTTAAACGAGATTAAAAAAACGCCCTGTATGTGAGGGACAAAGTATGTCGATCTTAAAACGTACCTGCATTCACTTTGCTTGATCTCTTCCGGAATATGTTCGCTGCCCGCTGACTGGATATCCTGTACTGCCCTTTCGTACTCGGCGTTGTAGGGTTGCCTAACTTCGTCGCTGTACTTCGGCGCAGTCTCGCTGGGCGGGGGCGCGTCCTCTTCGTAATGAAAACTGTCATCACTCGCCGATGGTCGGTACTTTTCGGAACCCACCTCGGCTTGCTTTCGAGTGTCTTCGGATTCCCGCTCGATGCTTTTCGCGTAGTCGTAACTGGGCACTTCCTCCTCGTCATCGTTGCTCCTTTTGGCCTGGAAAATGATATGTTTTGCAATTCACCTAAGATGGAGGTTGGGATGTGTAGGGATGCAACGATATATCGGAAAACCGATAAATGTCGATATATCGACAACTAAAAATATCGATACTTATCGATATCGACGATAAAAATTCAATATATCGTACCAAAATATCGAAAAGCCCACCCAAATTAAAATACCCACAAAAACGGGTAAAACGCTTGACTGGCAACGTGACAACACTGACTCCCTAGAAAATGAGGTATGACGATATGACAAGTGAAAAGTGTATATGTTTTGTGACATGTGACATGTGACATGTATACGTGTTGTACCTGTTGGTTGCTAATAAATTAATACTCAATTTTAATTTCAAAATATGAAGAGAAGTAGATATGGTCATATTTCAAAAAAGAAGATGGTACTGCCGTTTGCACTATTTATAACAAACGAGTTAATTAATTACCTTTTCTCTAGGATTCTCAATGCGGATGACTATGGATGGCTTACTGTTCTTAGGTGCATTATTGTCGCTCCTCCTGTGGCGCGTCTGCTCGTGAACCGTGTCGAAGAAGTCTTTCAAAGGCGTGTTGGATGACGCGACATGTTCGGCGGGAGCATAATGAGCGTGAGGCTCACTTGCCTGCCCCTCCGATCCGAAGCTCGTCACCGGCGTGTGAACACTTTCCGCGTACGCTGCAACAAAATGAAATAAGATTTCACGTTAAACAAGATGCTTTCGTCTGTCCGACCAAAAAAGACAGCCAGCCATGGACAGCTGTTCCGTGCTTTTTAGCTACTCATCAGCGTGGTAAAAAGAACAAATGGAACCAACGCAGAAAAATCACTGAATATTAAGTAAACATACTCATATTGTTCGGATATATCAGCTTATACTTCCATTGTAGCAAATATGTTTACAAGTTGTTATCAAAATTCAATAAATGGTTCTGGGCGTTGCATGTTATGTCACTGTACAGTGGACCTCCGGTAATCCGACAAACATTATGCAGGGCAGTGTCGGACTATCGAATTTATCGGGTTATAGAGCACTACCTAAGACCCCCTATAGTCCGGATTTTTTTACAAAAGATTACCTTGTAATCCGACAAATTACATATCCAATGGTAAGATTATATATGTTATGTATATGTATGTACTTTGAAGTAAAAATCATACATAGTTCATGTCGAATTTAGTAAATTGAATAACAATAGAGAGCTTACGTTTTATTATAAAATTAAGCATAAATGCACATACATATGTACCAAAATAATCAAGAATTATCAATCAAAATCATTAATGAATTTATCAAATTATGAAGCTTGGAAATATGCATCGATTTTTTTTTGTTTAAGGTTGTTATAACGCGAGATCAGAGCTTTGTCCCTCAGTCTTCGCAAAAGTTAAATTTGGTTGTAGGATGTACCATTCTCTTCAGCCCATTGTAAACCTAGCTCAAAGGCGTTAATTGCGTCTTGTGCTGTGACTTGTGGAGCAGTTGCAATCACGTCGTCGTTATTTTCCTGATTGTTTGTTGTATAATTAGAAACATCTTTTATAATCTCTTCGTCAGACATTTCATGAAAAACATTTTCCTTTTTATCCATTCCACGGCACCAGATTTCCAAATCTTCCGGACTTATCTGTGTTTCAGTAGCGACTTGTTCTATAACTTCCGAAGTAACACTGATTTGTGGAACGTTGCTAGGAGTGGTGACTATATCTGGCCATAACTTTTTCCAAGACGATTTAATAGTTGATGACGGTAACGCATTCCACGACTGACAAAGATCAAAAACCAAGTCTTTCATATTAAAAAAAAGTTTTTTCTATTGGTTGGTCTTTTGATAAGGCTCTCAGAAGTAGGTTTTTCTTATAGTCTTGCTTGACAAACTGAATGATATTCTGGTCCATTGGTTGAATCAGTGCAGCGCAATTTGGCGGAAGAAACATCGCAGTGATGCATTTATCCTCAGTTGTTAGTTCTTCTTCAGACGGCGTTATCAAGAAGCAACAACGCTTTTTGAGGAAAATTATGATCTTTTAACCATTTTCTAACTTCAGGTACGAAGCATTCATCAAACCACTTTTTGAAAAGGTCTTTTGTCATCCATGCACTTTTTTGTCCGTAATAGTGTACTGGTAAATCAATGTTTTTGAATGCCCGTGGTTAGATTTCACAATGACCATCATCTTAAGCGCGTGGGTGCCCGCAGCGTTAGCACATGGTAGTATGGTTACACGCCCTTTACTTACTTTTCGTCCAGGTACGGATTTTTTGTTACAAGAAGCGAAAGTTTTGTTAGGTATCACACGCCAAAAAAACCCTGATTCGTCTGCATTGTACACCTGTGACGGGTCAAGATTTAAATCGTTCACCTTTTACAAAAATCTTAATTTAAAGGGCTCTATGCAGGTGGCATCGTTAGAAAGTTTCTCTCCTGTAATAGTCATTAAACGTATGCCATGACGACTTTTTAAATCGTTCCAGCCATCCTTTGCTGGCCACAAAATCATCTTTTTTTGTTATTTCCTAATAAAAAAACTTAGCTTTCATGGCCAACATGGGTCCTGAAATTGGTGCATGCCTATTTCTTTCCTGAAGAAACCAGCTTCTTCCACTTCTGGATGTTCAGCTTTCTTGAGTTTCTCTCTCTTGCCTGGCCCGCAGTCAGTAGTTGACACGAACTTCTTGATCTTCTTATGGTTTCTTTTAATGTCATAAATTGTAGATCGGCCTACCCCGTATTCACTTGCGAAACTACTGAAAGTTTCATTGCGATTTAAGCGGTCTAACATATCACATTTTTCTTTGTCAATGTTTTGTGATTTCGCTTTTAAGTTTGTGATGACATTGCTAGGTACTATACTTAATACACAATGAATAAATAGTAAACAATGAACGCAGGCTAGGCCGTATCGCTATCACAAGTAGTCAAATTCAAACTAAGTAAAACGATGCTTACGCGTCGAGTACGATAGCGGTGGCGCGTACAAGTTGTAACCTGTCCAAACCTGCGTGATCTACATTGGCGAAGATTGTCAAATACGTATGTATGTAATATTCATAGACATGTCGGATTACAGGGGGCGCCGGATTAGACAGGGGCCGGTTTATCGGGGGTCCACTGTATATTATAGTGTGTAATCTTCTGTTTTATACACTGTATATCTAATTTTTACTATATTCATATGTTACCTGGTAGTCCAATGAAAATAAATTTATTCATTTATCATAAATTTTCTTGATACGAATAAGCATAGATGCTTCAATCAAGCCTTGTGCTCACCTTGTGCTGCTCTGAGATAGTGTGAATACTCGTCATCTTGAGCACTTTCGCCTGCTTCTTGACTGTTTGTCTGACTCACCGCTAGGAGAGTCACCTAGAAAAAAATACCGGTTAATTTCGTGATATATTCAATTTATTTGGTCGACTGATTTAGGTCAAGGCCTTCCAAAATCTCGTTGAAATTGTACCAAGCATATATGCTCTGAGAACATCCTGTGAGAGTTTGCTCAGACCTTATTGGTTTACACCAAAAATTGCGTTTTGTGCATGAAGAAACGTTTCCTTTAAAAAAAAAATGGGAAAATCGATACATCGTTCAAGTGATTTAAATGCAAAGGTGTAAGCCTCATCTTGAGGAAGGTTTTCTGGAACGCTTATTTGCTCTCAAGGAAACAATAAAGAACAAGAAAATGTATATTCTAGTTTTTGCCGCTACCCGTCACAGATTATATGAATCATTTTTCTTGCGTTAAAGTCACTCAACTACATCAAAACCAATATTGTTATGGGAGTTATGAAACCGACTGTACTGTCGTTTTTTCAGTCAGTATGGTGTAAACGCATATTATAACTAATAACTTTCCAATTTTTTGTGCGAGGTTCTTTGTATGTATGTCGCGGCTTTTTCTAAGGAAAGGTGAATGAACATTTAACACCACGTAACGAAAAGCTCGTATACTAACTTAAGTCGTAACAATTCTGGGCATATACCAGTCACAATCGCACGAGTATTGGGGCATGTATACAGTAGTAATAAAAAGAATGAGGTTCGAGATTTTGCCGACAAACTAGCAGCCAACGAAGCAATCAACATCTAAACTTGACCTATGAGTAGTGTACGAGGACGTTAAATTGACGCGCTGCAAAAGAACGCGCGTATAGCAGTACTTTGATGGAACAGTCTACCGAACGCGCGTTTCGCCGAGCGTTTTTTTGCAGCGCGATAATTTAACGCCCATATGTACCGACACTTAGGTGATGGATGACGTTTTGAAGATATGGTGAACTTGCGCCTGAAACTAGCTAAACAAACTGCTGCGTCGGATGTCATTCTCATTACACCTTAATATGATGTGTTTTTTCAAACATAATTTCAAGAATCTCCTAATGATTCACTGAACATGTGCTAAATAAGTAATGAAGGGGAAGGCAAGATATTTACTTGTTAGGCAACATGCAAATGCAGGCTATGTACAACTAAAGGTTGTCCCATAATTAACACAAGATTTGAATCTGTCGCCATGTTTGTAGTAAATTGTGGGCAGCCCTGAAAAAAGAACAATTTGACAGCTGCGAGGTTAGGGTTAGAAAAAAATGGGCGTTATACGATACAGCAACGTGTTTTCATTAACAATATTTCAAAAATAATGAAAGTTTAGAGAAAATATTATACAAAATAACAATGTAAAGACTTGAAACTGTGTTTTCTATTTAACTCAAAACTAGCGTTAATTTTGGGACATCCCTTACATTCAAGCCACACCTAATTATACTAAGTGACATATAAATCCGAACACCCAGTTTAAATGGTTTTATTTTAATAAAAGTTGGTGAATGTATTTATCTTACTGTAAATAACAAGTGAACAAATTTTCAGCCTTATCAGTTGGACATTCCGGTTTTTATACTGCTTTTTTTTAATTCACTAACGCCCTAAACATGAATATTTCAGCCGCAGTAAAGAATCAACGTTGGCGGATTTTGGTTCTTGACATCCTTTACGTTCGGTTACGATGCCTAGAGTACGGAGACCTGTACGATTTCGTCAACTTAGTGAGTTTGATAGAGGCCGTATAGTGGGACTTCGGGAAGCTGGACTTTCTTTTCGGGCAATTGCAGTTAGAGTGCAAAGAAGTGTAGACACTGTGGTTAGGTGTTGTCAGGCATGGCTGCGAGAAGGCCGTACGCAAAGAGCAAGGGGCACTGGACGCCGCCGTAGAACAACAGACCGTGAAGATCGCCGCCTAAGATTATTGGCCTTAAGGGACCGTTTCTCCACTACCAGGTCCATTGCAAATGAATGGTTTGCAGAACACGGAAGACCTATTGGCATGCGAAGTGTTTACCGACGAATGAGAAGTTTTGGCTTGTTTTCATACCGGCCACACTGGATCCTCCCTTTAACTCGAGAACACCGACGTAATCGCCTTGAGTGGTGCAGACAACGGTCACTCTGGGATCAGGAATGGAACAGTATTAGAGTCTCGATTTTGTTTAGGCATGCACGATGGTCGTGCCAGGGTTAGAAGGCGACGTGGTGAAAGGAGGAATCCACAGTTTTTTGTTGAAAGACATGTTCATCACACTGTTGGAGTTATGGTTTGGGGTGCTATAGCTTATGGTTCAAGGTCACCTTTAATCTTCATCAGAGGTAACATGAACGCGCAGCGTTATATCCACGAAGTTCTAGAACCCCATCTTTTACCCTATCTTGACACCCTGGCAGATCCAACTTTCTTCCTGTGCCCGACCACATGTTGCAAGAGTCACAATAGACTTCTTTCAACATAATGATGTCACATTGTTACCATGGCCACCAAGATCTCCCGACTTATCCCCAATTGAGCACGTGTGGGATATGAAGGGTAGGAGATTGCTCAATTTGCAACGTCCTAGTCAGACTCTAGAAGCACTTCGAGAGGAGTTGGTGGTTGCCTGGAATGAGATACCACAGGAGGACATTGACCACCTGATCAGAAGCATGCCTAGGCGCGTTGGAGAATGAGTAGCACATCAGGGTGTATCCACACATTATTAAAGGTCAAGGGCTTTAAAGTAGTGCAATCATTTTTAAATTTTTATCATTTACTTATTATGCTTCATTAAGTACTTATACAAAATTTTATTAAAATAAACCCATTTAAACTGGGTGTTCGGATTTATATGTCACTTAGTATATTTTAATCGCGCTATGTTTAACAAAAGCAGACATTGTCTATTCTATAATTTTTGCACGCAAAAGGAAATAGGCACTGTCGATCAAGCAAAACGTGCAGCAAATACTTTCTATGATTGCTGCAGAATGAAACCACAGATGTTGGTTTGAACGCTTACTAACGTTACGGCCACCTCCGTACTGACCACAAAACTTGATTTTTATACTATAGGGTGTTCAATAACTGTTGAAAACATACAAAAAATATTGGAAAAATTCAAACCGTATTTCTATGAAGTTCGGATCTTCGACATTTCAAATCTATCATATTTCTGTTCAACTGTTACGTCATCGTTTATAAAACCATCGCAGAACACTAAAGAAGTACGTACTTCTAGTGTCCAAATATTGTTAAAATATATAAATATTTCTCCTATGGCTGTGTGTCAGTGACGACACCACCGCAGATCAATTGTACATAGGAGTTTTATCATTTAATTTTCTCAGTGTTACTGGGATTATAAGCTTTTTAATGATAGAGAGTCCTTGACTAATACTGAAGAGGTATCATTTACAACCCCCTGCCCCCAAACCCCAAGTTTTAACCCCTACAATGTTCAAAAACTACAAAGCTTCTTTCATCCTTGGCATAATAGTAACCTTGCTTGAAAATTTCATTAAAATCCGAGCGGTGCTTCAAAAGTTATACGCGGTTATAAAATTAGCGGACAGACCGAGAGACAGACTCACGGAGATGAGTATCTTGGTCTTTCGTACAAGTCACATAACACCCAAAAAGTATAATATCTCAATTTAGAAATATTTCACGATTAGACTGCTTTCTCTCCAGTTGGCGTAGCAGGTAAAATGTTCATCGTGGTTTAACTAAATCGATTGAGTCACCCTGTAAATTCGACCGGCATTCACATCAAAATTATTATAAATGCAGTCCTTTCCTATTCTACAATATCAAACACAAAATATCACTAAAACTGTTCACCAAAAACGATCACAAGATGACACTTAGGAAAAGAGGATCACTAACCGTCAGCAATACGCTTCTTCTCAGAAGCATCTCGTACTTTCTTCGATCGCCAAATAACGAAATTAATGCAAAAATATTGCGCTATCTGTTTATATAGAACTTCCCACTACAAGAAGTCCAGCCCAGTCTGGGTGACCACGTAATAAGAAAGCACAAGATTGTCTCGGTTTAAATTCCAATATTTCTTAAAAACACCGGCGGTTATTCAACCGAGAATGATTGAATACGTCAAATCAAGCGGAAAAAAGTTTTTCTCTCCGCGAATAGGCTCTGAGAGTCGAAGCCGTACTTTGTCGTGCTTCATAGAAAATGCATCACCTCCACGCTTGTGACATATTCACGGCATATCTCACAGGGACCGTTCTCACAAACTATTCCGTCTCTATAACATCATTTCAGACGTAAGGTCTGACCAGCAGGGATATCATGTGAAAACGGCAAAATGTCATCTTGCAGACTACGTCGTTCTTAGTGTGCAAATAGTTCATTCCAAGTTTTCGCTGTGAGCGCCATCTATGGAGGAATGACCCAACGACACGACACGCTCAAGCGTGCATTGTTGGTTGCAGACAGCCAAGCGGTGCACTGATTATCTCTTAAAAGATGTGAAAGAAAGTTGTTTGAGAAGCAAGATCGCATCTGGATGATTATGTGTATTGGTCTGCATGCGTATAAAATCAACGATATTTGCTATGTGAGAAAATCGTTACACAATATGCTATCAATGAAGTATATATATATATATATATATAACTTGAGACGTGGTCATTGTCGTCTAGACCAGTTAGGTGAAAAATTAAAGCTTCCGCCTTTTGTTGGGTACTTCGACAAAATTTAAGCAAAGAGGACTCTTTATACTTTTTTTATTCTCTCTAGCCTCCCCTCCAGAGGTCTGGATGGTATTGTCAGAGAATTCAACAGCTATGACCCCTACATCCAATTTACCATTGAAAAAGAAAATGAGAACCTGTCTGTCCCCTTTCTAGACACAAGACTCAACCGCACCAACAACAATAGTTTATTGGTAGACTGGTACCAGAAACCTATGGCCTCAGGCCGGTTTCTCAATTTTAGGTCATACCATAAGCTAGGGATTAAAATCAACTTGGTGAAACAGATGAAAACAAGGGTAATCAGCATCTCAGACAATACTTTCCACACTTCAAATTTACGTAAACT